AACACTAGCTCATTGTCGTAATTGTCTTCAAGACACATGTATTTAAAGACTGTGAATATGGTACTTATTCATTGGGCGATGTGTCTGTCGCCTTCACATTTACACCACTGACACAAGTCATTATTAAATAACTCCGTTCTTTCATATACATTCGTACCTAACATGAAAAAGGCCCAGCGGACTGTGGTGCACTGGCGAAGTTCCCAAGCAGCTGGGGCGCTGGTAGTACGCGTCCCGTGCCACTGAGTAGAGCCCGAGCTTCTTCGCACCGGTCTACCGGTCGGAGGGGCAGCTGCAACCACTCATGTACCTACTGAGAGTGAGTGCTCAGCGGTACGGCGAATGGGAAACGCTATATCATACTCTTGTTGCTACAACATTTGAGAAAACAGTCTGAGGAATATGCTGTTGTAGTGAATGTAGAAAGTCCTTTCTGTTTATGAATCCGCCAGCGCACATATGATAATACAAACGTATAAAACCAAGAGGATGTGCTCAATTGATCTTCATTTCTTTAGGTCGCTGTTGCAATTGCGGCAGCTCGGTGGCGCCATGGGTGGGTGGGTACCAGATTATTCGTGTTGATTAATGTTGTACGCTAAACGAAAAAAGCGATAGATAACGTCGGATAAGTGGTTACTTAAAAACATTTGCACACACATATTTATGTTATCTTAAAGCGTGTTGTAATTAACATGTTTAACTTTTCGTTCGGGTTGGACAGTTCACTCCTTACTTAGTAAAACCTTTCAGGTGTGTCTATAGTTTATATTAACTCACTCATAATAAAAATTCGAGGAGTGATTGTGGTGTGTCGAACTATGTTTCATAAAATGTGAGGAGGGGATCAGTTCGATGTATTCAAATGTAATTCAGCTTTTTCTATGACACTCTCTCTATATGGCAATCCATAACAAATTCACTGTTTATATAAAATAAGGTAGGAGTTTTATAGATATATATACTAGAAGAGAGTCGTGGTATCTTTTAAAGCAATTTCCATCGCAAGTAAGGTTTCATTTTTGGGTAAACATTAGACACACAACTTTTACTGTCAAAAGGAATAGGTTATCTACAATACTACTCCTATTTTTTCTAATCAAAAACTTCGCACAACACAGAGCAAGAGAATAAAACAGAAAAGAGGAAATTCGTCCTTTTACCAAACTCAGCCAAACATGATGAAAAATATTTAAAAGTCAAAACGTAGATAGAACGGAAATGTGATTGCACACCCAGAACGACGTAAGTTGCACCTACAATACCCAGATGCGGACGAAACAGGATACGTTTCGTGTGTTTTTTATTATCGGTATAGTTGATTTAGAATCGACGTTATGAAACATGTTTTTCCAACAGCACACACATTGCTCTGTTATTTCAATCCTCGTATGAGGGGTATTAGGCCATGTCACAAATATATGGCAAGTCTAAAGCCGACGGGCGCACCGGGTGAGAAGCGAGCTTCTGTTCTTAAGCAGCAGAGAGGATATTGATAGGGGCATATTGAAGCACATAGGCCTCCGCATGCCACTGTTGGTTGTTTAAGGTGCGTCGTCTGTAATTATCATGAGTGTGCGTGCAGGGGCTGGCTGCCTGGATTTTTCTCACACGGAGGGAGTATATAAAGGATCCATTATATATCTAGCATATCGTACACCCTTAGACAACCACGCGGATATTGTGCGGGTAGAACGGGCTTTGTCGTGGCTTCACATCTCATTGGGGCGCTAGAGTAGTATTTATAGGTATTGCGCGTGCGGGCGAGACGAGAGGGTAGGATGTTCTGGGAGATGTAGGGTTCTCTTGACCGGGTGGCAAACGCGCGTTTTCGGCCAGCGCATTCGCGCAGCTCATGCAATCAGCGACGCGTGGTAGACTGTCGCGTCTGCCGACGGGATGCGATATCAAGAAGTACGCGTTGCGGCTAGGTGCTAGTGACATGATTGAGTGGGCTTGGCAAGCTAAAGGCACACTCACCTTCAATAATTTAAATTCACTCGAATTGTAAACTCGATGAGACCGGGAATATGACTGGGGAAAAGAAAAGCGAATCGAGGATAGGCGGTTGTCGTCGAAAGCTAGGCTTTGTTCTTCTATTTACATCCTGAGGCTGGAAAATATTGGGCACGCAGAAATTACATTTGTAATACTCGAATAGAATTTTTTCTTTGTCTACACGACTTCAGGGCTGTGCACACGTTCGCTGACGTGACATTGCGCCTCAGTAAACTAATACGATTGCAGCAAACGATTATGAACAATAAGTTGCCACCTTAGCCCCTGGACGAATCCCTTCTGGTAGATTTTCTTATAAGGGTAGGTTCTAGTAGGCACATGTGGCGTTTTTTAAGCCGGATGAAAGGCTTCACTGACGGTAATGTATATCGAAAGACAGCTTAGGCATGATGTTATTTAATAAATGCGACTTTGTCGTTCAGGTGTAAGGTGTAAATGTGGGGAAGGCTGGCCGGGACGCAGCTGGAGCAACGGACTGGCACGCCGGCAAATCTGGTGACCGTCGCCCAATGATAAGTAACCCATATTTCAAGCATCAGTCTTTAAAATACATGTGTCCTGAAGACAATTACGAGTGGCACTAGCAAGTAGAGCATAGGTTCCCATTTGTGTGTTCGGGTTCTTACATTTTGGAAAAAGTTCATTTTAATTATTAACAGAAAATCCTTAATCACTAATCTTCAATAAAAATTTCGGGACAAACAATGCAGAAGACAATTGATTATTATTCAGGGCAACGTACAGGGGGTCCTGTCTTCTCTTTTCAGTTATCCTCCACACTACCTACTACGAACACAGCCACGCACACCACCTCATTATTCTTTTTTTTTTTCTGTTAATGCGTGGTGGAAGTAGGCAGCTTAACAGTTAAATTTCTTATTTTATCGTATAATGTACGAAAAATACCAAGCGTTTTTGTTGACATAATGGACTGGACATAAGTATATCTGTTGGCTTGCACATTTACGTTTCTGAATAAATACACTACCTTGAAACATACTGCGCCTGATAACGAAAATAATGGTGTACTAGAATAACAATTTGTCTTGATTGTTTGTGTCCGAAATTTTATAAATTAATTAGATTTATAATTAAAATGAACTTATAAAACACTAGCTCATTGTCCGTAATTGTCTTCAAGACACATGTATTTAAGACTAGTGAATATGGTACTTAGTCATTGGTGCGATGTGTCTGTCGCTTCACATTTACACCACTGACACAAGTGCATTAGTATAAATAACTCGTTCAGATCATATACATTCGTACCTAACATGATAAAAGGCCCAGCGGACTGTGGTGCACTGGCACGTTCCCAAGCAGCTGGGGCGCTGGTAAGTACGCGTCCGTGCCACGAGTAGACCGAGCTCTTCGCAACCGGTCTACGGTCGGAAGGGGCCACTGCAACCACTCATGTACCTCTGAGACGTGAGTGCTCAGCTTGTACGGCGAATGGGAAACGCTATATAACATACGTCTGTTTGCTACAACATTTGAGAAAACAGTCTGAGGAATAATGCTGTTGTAAGTGAATGTTAGAGTCCTTTCTGTTTTATGAATCGCCAGCCGCTACATATGATAAATCAAACGTATAAAACGCAAGAGGATGTGCTCAATTGATCTTCATTCTTTAGGGTCGCTGTGCAATTGCGGCAGTCGGTGGCCTCATGGTGGGTGGTGGGATGAGTAAGATTTGTGTTAATTAAGAACCTACTGGAATGCTTTAAAACGCGCTTTTTACTCATATAACCAGATTACAGAGGTTGTGCCATGAAATTCGACGAATTCCTAATACATGTAGCCGATATAGTAAATGCACCTACTCTATTATATAGTTTTATACACAGCCGTGTTTAAGAAAGGGGCGAAAGTAAACATGTTAATTACAACACGGATGTTTAAAATGAAATCTTTTTCCGTTTTTCAGACAGATAAAAATATTGGTTAATAATTTACAGTACTCCTGCCGTCTAT